ATCGCTGGTGCTTTGCTGGCTGGTGTGGATGTAGCAGCAGCTTCTCTGCCCCAGGATTGCCCAGCACTGCTGCTTCAGCCCTCAGGAGGTTTCTTCCCCACAGCACACTCAGGAGCCTTTTTGGGCTTGTTGCCACAGGGCCAACAGCCCACTGTTGTTCAAAGGGAAGATCAGAGGCTGTGTTTTGTGGTGGGGCAGATAGAGGCAACAGGGTTCTACGCTGGGCACAGCATGGCACAGGTTTCCTCCTGTTTGCCTTTTGGGTATTTTCAGTCCAGTCACAGCCTCTGCTGGGATCTTCCCTTTCCTGTAATTCCTGCACTTGGCAGGAATGCTGCCCTGATGCCATGGGGAGGGTTGTGGCCTCTCTTGGTTACACCTTGGTGCGTGGGTAAGAAAGGCAGAACCGATACCTCTGCTCCCTGCCTCAGAGAGCGCTCCCGGAGGAGGCTTGTGGGGCTGGAGGTTTTTCAGTGGGGTTCTGGGGCTCTCAGGTATGCTCCTGCCATGGCTGCAGAGTCTGAGCCTCCTTGCCCTGGCTAAGGGTGCCTGACCCTCGGTATATCACCACTGGGGTCACTGGATGCTGGCTCAGCTTGCCCAGGGTGGGGAGCAAAGGCTTTGACCCTGCTTGGTGCCTCCCCGGAGGGATAGTGGGTCCCAGGAGGACAGCCGGGGGAAGAAAGCCCATCACTGGTGCGAGGCTGGTCCCTGTGTGCTTGGGCGAGCAGCAGAATGAAACCTCCCTTGCTGGGTGAGGATGGGGCTGGTGGCTTGTCTTCTCCTCAGGACGCACTAGAGGTCTCTTCCTGCCCAGGACACGGCTGTGGGGATGCGTGTAGGGAGCCCCAGCTCTGTCCTGGTGGGGTGAATTCCCACAGCCCAGGGACACCCCATGTGCCTCCAGTGCCAGCACAAAGGCTCTGGGGACAAAGTGTTGTTTGGGGTTTTTATCTTTAAATTGAACAGTTTTTTCTCTCTATCCAATGTCCTCACTGAGTAACTCTGGAGCTACCAGCCCTTCCCTCCCCAGCACTGCGCGTTGCTCAGCACAGCCCCAGGGTGATGCAGGAGGTGACTGGCAGTGATGTAACACCAGGGATTGCATCACCAGCGTGGGACACACAGCGTGGCACAAGCCAGCCCCACGGCACCAAGAGGCGGTGAAGGGTTCTGGGGTGCACAGTAGGGCCAGCAGCACTTTGGTGGCACTGACCCACTGGGCTGGTGGGTACAGTTCTGGAGATGGTGCCAAGTGGAGGCCACCCGATGTCCCTCCCCTGCCTCAGCACGTGGCCATGGGCTCCTGCACGTCTCCCAGGGGGGTTGTTTTTTAAGCTGGCTTTTGGGGACAGCGTTTTTGGTTCTTTCCCTCATCTTTCCCAAGCCTGGCGACTTTGGCAGGAGCCAGTTCATCCCAGACAAGCTCCAAAAGGGCTCAGGAAGGAGCCATCTGGGTTCCCCCTGCACCTGCTCCCGCAGCGTGACTTGTGGCCAAGGCTTTTCCATGCTGGCAACACGCAGCAGCCGATGAGTCACGGGCAGTTGCCTCCCCTGCCTGCGGCCGTGCCCGTTTTCACTTTCCTTCTTGCACCCAGAACTTCCCATGTACCGGAATTTCTTGTCTGAGGCATTCCAGTGGCTCTGCCGGGCTGTGTGCATTGAGGAGGGAGCTCCATCGATACCACTTTCCCAGCACAGCACTGCCTGCAGGTGCGGCTGGGAACCACCAGGGCTGGAGCGATGTCTGCGGCGGGTCCCCAGCACCCTGCAGACCCCGCAGCGCACAGCCCGTGCTGGCTTTGGGGTCCCTGTGCAGTCATGGCAGGAGCTGACACAAGCACCTCTGCGGGAGCCGTGCCCAATACAGCCAGGCTTTGCTGGCGGGGCTGGGACTGGGATGTGCTGAAGCGTGGCACTGCTGTGTGAGGTGTTTGCCGGGGTGCCAATGCCCAGCATAGTGAGACCGCATCCCACCAGTGACAATCCCTCGCTGCTGCTCAGCTACAGCTCGGGGCAAGTGGAACACGGGCATCCAAGCAAGGTGCCCAGGAGACCTCGATGAGGCACTGGCACAGGGTGCCCAGAGAAGCTGTGCCTGCCCATCCCTAGCAGTGTTCAAGGCCAGGTTGGATGGGGATTAGCTGTAAGGTCCCTTCCAACCCAAACTGGTCTGTGATGATACGATTCTATGATCTTCAGCCTTTCATTGCAGCCAGCCTGAGTGCTGGTGCTGCGCTTGTGGCCGCAGTTTCACTGCTCAGCTTTCGCTTTTCCTTCGTTCCTCTGGATCTCCTTGTGCCTGCATGTAGACATGAGGTTTTGTTTACTTCTCCAACCAGAAATGTGCCCGAGAACTAAAAGCCACAGTGGTGGGAAAGAGAAGCCAAACTCGGTCCCACAGGGATGTGATGCTGCTCTGGGACTTGACGGGTGACCCGAGCGTCCCCAGCCCTGGCCTTGGCAGGGGCCTGTGGCAGTGGTTCGTGGTGAGTCTGTGTGCATGCCAGGGCCATCTTCTAGCCCTGCTCTGGGTCCTGAGGGTGCAGATGAGGCCATCCCAGCACAGCAGGCACTGAACATCATCTTGGTGCTGGACATCACTCTCTGGGTGCTGTGGACCTTGCTCCAGCCCCACTGGTGGCTGCTGGAGATGCCAGAACACCCCGGCCTGGCCCATACCTTGATCTGGAGGAAGAAACGCCCCACAGGAACTGCCCTATGACCTGGCTGGCCTCCACCGTATGAGACCCTGAGCCACCATCACTCTCCTGCTGCTCCACTGAGACTGAAGAGTTCCAGGCAGGGCCTGGACCTGCTTCCTCCCCTTTCTGCCTGGGGCCATGTTTATTTTTATATCCATTGGGATTTTCTACTGAGGTGCCACCTATTAACAGCCCAGAGAAGCTGTGGCTGCACCATCCCTGGCAGTGTTCAAGGCCAGGTTGGACACAGGGGCTTGGGGCAACCTGGTCTTGTGGAATGTGTCCCTGCCCCTGCAAAGGTTGAAACTGGGTGAGCTTTAAGGTTCCTTCCAGCCCAAACCAGTCTGGGATTCCATCCCAGCTGAGCTGTACCTCACCTCGGTGACGGAGGTGATGATAATTTTGCTGTTTGGGCTTTTATTTCATAGTTGTATTGATTGTGAACTCATTGCAGTGAATAAAGCTTATTCTTATAAACCTGTGCATTTCTGGTGGGAGGCAGAGGTTGAAGACAGTGCCATGGTCTTGCACACTGGAGGGCACTGAACCCTGGCTGGGGCTCAGGCTTTTAATTACTGCTATACCAGAAGAGGCTGGTGTGGGAGCCTGGTCCAGCAGCAATGTGTCTGTGACATGCTGTGGAAGGAAACCCTGATGGGAACGTCATGAAGCTCAGCAAGGAGAATTCAAAGTCCAGGCTGTGCTGGCGACTGCCCACATTGAAAGCAGCTCGACAGGAAACGCCCTGGAGGTCCTGGTGGGTGCCAGGTTGAACATGAGCCAAATGCGTGTCCTCGTAGCACAGAAGGTGGACGGTGTCCGGGGCTGCTTGAGGAGTGTTCCAAGCAGACCAAGGGAAGCGATCTTTCCCCTCGGCTTAGCCCTGGTGAGGCCACCCCTGGAGTGCTGGGTCCAGTCCTAGGCTCACCAGTGCAAGAGAGACGCGGACAGACTGGATAGAGTCCAGTAATGGACCACGAGGATGATGAAGGGTCTGGAGCATCTCTCCTGTGAAGAAAGGCTGAGGGAGCTGGGACTGTTCAGCCTGGGAAGAGAAGGTTCCGGGGCTCTTGGTGTTGCCTACTGACGGGAGAGCAGACAGTGGGCACAACCTGAGACACGTGGAAGTCCATGTGGACATGAGAAAACACTGTTTCTGTGAGGGTGGTGAGACACTGGCACAGGTTACCCAGAGAAGCTGTGGAGTCTCCAACAAAACCAGACACAGCCCTGGGCAGCCTGTGCTGGCTGACCCTGCTTGAGGAACGGTTGAACTGGACAATGTCCAGAAGTCCCAGCCCACCTCCATGCCTCAGTACAGCACCTCTGTGCTGGTGTGCCCACCATAGCTGTACCTTCCCGTGGCCTTGTGTAAGGACTTTGCGCATTTGCTTGGACTCCTTGAGGTTGGCAGTTTGTTTCCAAATAGGAGCGTTAAAAATTGGGTCCTTCTGGAGCAGTGACCTCTACGGCCACCACGTGAAGCCCTGCAAAGTGTGCTTGTGCCTCTTGCTGCCTCACTGCAGGTTTGCTTTTTGGATACGGGCATTGCGCTAATTTTGAATCTTTAACGCTTGATGAATGCATGAAATGAAAGCCCAGCAGTGACGGCTTCACATCGCAGGACGGTACCTCGAGGAAGGATGGACTTTGCTGAGTGGAGGCATCATTCCAGATCTCAGCAGAGAGATGTCCACACGTGAAAGCTGCATTTCCAGACTAAGCAGGGAGGAAGCCCCATCCAGCTCCAGCGCTGGCGGCGCTGGCAGCACCACTCATTTCCAGCAGCCTCCCTGCAGAGCTCTACATCCCACCTGGAAAACACTGTGGAAGTACTTCTGCTTTCACCTGTTTTCCTGGTTTTTGTCATGAACCTGGTCTGTCTGCATAACCCAGAGGTGCCCGCAGGCTGCATTGTGCAGTGCCCGCTCTGGCTGTTGCTTCCATCCCCTCCCTGCCACAGCTGTTGTGCTGTGCTTCCCACGGGGAAACTGAGGCACGAAGTGCTGCTGCTGCTCAGGAGGCAGTGGGACCCTCCGAGCCCGCTGTGCCCATTGGGCTGTGAGCCTGGGGACTCCCATAGCTCCCAGCGCGTGCCAGGCTGGGTCACGGCCGCCTGCGCCTCTGCACCACTCGACGTGGCAGCAGCGTCCCCCCGTTCAGCTCCATGGAGGGTGCGCTGGAGGCAGCCCTAGCATCCCCCTGCTATCCGGGTGCTGCCGCGCTGCCCTGTCGAGGCGGCAGTGGGAGGCGGGATTCCCTCGGCCGCCGCTTTCACTTTCCAGTTTCCAGCGCCGACAGGCTGTGGATTTTCCTGCCACCTGAATGCGCCGTCGGGGCAGCATAAAAAGCCGTGGAGATGAAGCAGAGAAGGGAGGTGAAGCAGCTCCCCAGCACCAGCCCCCAGCCCGACTGCCAGCATCTGAGTTCACTGCCTGCAGCAGTACCAACAGGGATCCAGCCCGGAGCGCTGCGCTGTGTCCTCTGTGCCTTCTGGCTCCACAAGCTCCTCGCCCCATCCATCATCACCTGCTCACTGTCAGGCTCTCGTCAGCATGATGCTGTGCCTCAGCTTCATCCTCCTGCTGGCGCTGGTGGTAGGGACCAGCCTCGGGGCTGCCATCCCCCAGGATGCCCTCAAGAGGAGCTGCAGCCTCTCCAAGTACCAGTTCCTCGTGCCCCATGAGCTGAAGGCTGTGCAGAAGATGAAGGAGCACTTTGTGAGTAGGGCTAGCAACAGGGGGCTGTGAGCTGGAGAGGGCAAGGCAGAGGGGATGCCAAATTCGAGACCCTCAGTGACAAGGTGGATGCTTTCTGCAGCAGTCTGGGCACAAGGAGGATGTTTCCCAAGGGAGTCCTGGGGACAAGAAGCTTGCTGACTCAAACTTCAACCTGGTTTCAACCCCCTCAAGGCTGACCAGATTTGCACAACGTCGCCAGCGGTGCAGATGACATTTTTTCAATGTCCCCCTTGGTTTGTGCCTGCAGGAGGACATCATGCTGCTGTCGGGCCACAAATGCAACACCAGGCTCTTCCATCGCAAGTGGAGCACGCTGGAGTTGTCGGTAAGAGCGTGGCAATGCTGTAAGAAGGGGGTACAGCCCCCTCCAGCCAGGACCTCCCCATCCCACCTCCATCCATCTGCACCATGGGCAGTCTTTGAGACCCAATCCTCCAGCACATTGCCATCCCTGGCAGTGCGGGTGCCTAACCAGGACACTGCTGCCCACAGGTGCCCGACCGAGTGATGCTGGTTGAAGCTGAGCTGGACCTGGCCATCGCCGTGCTGGGGCTCCCTGCTGTGCCCAGGCTCACGGAGCTGCGCCAGCAGCCCCTGGCCTTCCTCACCCAGGCTCGGGAGGACCTGCGAGGCTGTGTGAGTGTCCCTCCAAGTCCCCAAGCCCGTGCACCCCATGCACCCAGGTCACCTCTGGTCCTTACTCAGCTGCTCTATCGTAGGTGGCCATGGAGGCTCCTTCTTATCATCCCTCTGGGAAACTGCGGCACTGGCTGCAGAGGCTGGAGATGGCCAAGGAAACGGTAAGTCAGGGCAGGGGGCTCCGGGGTGTTAACCAGCTGCACGCTGCATGGGGCTGCTGCACCCCTCTATGGTGCAAACCTGACCCTTCTCACCACCACAGGAGACTCCCGGCTGCCTGGAGGCCTCAGCCATCCTTCACCTCTTCCAAGTGCTGAACGACCTGCGGTGTGCAGCCCTCCGGGAGCAATGCACTTAGTCCCTGCCGGTGGCATGGCACAGCATGGTACAGCACGGCGTGGCATGGAATGGTGCTCACCAGCCCCAAAGGATGTCTGGAGGACTGGGAAGAACGATCTTTACTGCATCACTGGACTGTAATTTCCTATTTAAGCATTTTTCTTATTTATGTGATGAGCTCAGGGAGCAATTCTTTTTCATAGTCTGTTAAATTATTGGGGTTTATTATAAATGACTTGGGAGGAGGTAAATGTATTTATTGGATATCTTTGTTTTGCTGGTTTTCAAAACACTGTTTTTTAAAGAAATCTATTTTTATCTGCTATTTATTACAGAGTACATTATATATATTTGCCTGCATAAGTTATTTCTTACATGCTATTTAATATGCAGAATAAAACAAATTTTATAAACAGATGAGCTGCCATCATATCTTTTGAATACGTTTCACAGTAACTTCATTCCTTTGGAAAAGTGAGGTATGGGGGAAGAGGAAGGATATTGGGTGAACTTTGAGCATTTGCAAGTAAATCACAAACCTTTGGCACTCATGTTCACCTCCAGCTGCCTGGGGACACCCCAAATGCCCCTTGGGGTTGCCTCTGGGGACAGATGAATGCTGTGGGTGGCCCCGGGGACAGGAGCCCTCTGGCCACCCGTGTTGGGTGGTGCGAAAGAGCACATGAGGCCTGGAGGAACACGCAGCCTAATGCAATGCTCACGTCCTAGCATGGGCTGGGCAAGCTCCTGGTTTGACCACCCCAGGGCCACTCAGCCATTGTATCTTTTGAATATTCTTCACTGTAACTTCATCCATTTGGAAAAACGGCTTTCTAACGGCTGCCTCCAGCGCACCCTCCATGGAGCTGAACGGGGGGACGCTGCTGCCACGTCGAGTGGTGCAGAGGCGCAGGCGGCCGTGACCCAGCCTGGCACGCGCTGGGAGCTATGGGAGTCCCCAGGCTCACAGCCCAATGGGCACAGCGGGCTCGGAGGGTCCCACTGCCTCCTGAGCAGCAGCAGCACTTCGTGCCTCAGTTTCCCCGTGGGAAGCACAGCACAACAGCTGTGGCAGGGAGGGGATGGAAGCAACAGCCAGAGCGGGCACTGCACAATGCAGCCTGCGGGCACCTCTGGGTTATGCAGACAGACCAGGTTCATGACAAAAACCAGGAAAACAGGTGAAAGCAGAAGTACTTCCACAGTGTTTTCCAGGTGGGATGTAGAGCTCTGCAGGGAGGCTGCTGGAAATGAGTGGTGCTGCCAGCGCCGCCAGCGCTGGAGCTGGATGGGGCTTCCTCCCTGCTTAGTCTGGAAATGCAGCTTTCACGTGTGGACATCTCTCTGCTGAGATCTGGAATGATGCCTCCACTCAGCAAAGTCCATCCTTCCTCGAGGTACCGTCCTGCGATGTGAAGCCGTCACTGCTGGGCTTTCATTTCATGCATTCATCAAGCGTTAAAGATTCAAAATTAGCGCAATGCCCGTATCCAAAAAGCAAACCTGCAGTGAGGCAGCAAGAGGCACAAGCACACTTTGCAGGGCTTCACGTGGTGGCCGTAGAGGTCACTGCTCCAGAAGGACCCAATTTTTAACGCTCCTATTTGGAAACAAACTGCCAACCTCAAGGAGTCCAAGCAAATGCGCAAAGTCCTTACACAAGGCCACGGGAAGGTACAGCTATGGTGGGCACACCAGCACAGAGGTGCTGTACTGAGGCATGGAGGTGGGCTGGGACTTCTGGACATTGTCCAGTTCAACCGTTCCTCAAGCAGGGTCAGCCAGCACAGGCTGCCCAGGGCTGTGTCTGGTTTTGTTGGAGACTCCACAGCTTCTCTGGGTAACCTGTGCCAGTGTCTCACCACCCTCACAGAAACAGTGTTTTCTCATGTCCACATGGACTTCCACGTGTCTCAGGTTGTGCCCACTGTCTGCTCTCCCGTCAGTAGGCAACACCAAGAGCCCCGGAACCTTCTCTTCCCAGGCTGAACAGTCCCAGCTCCCTCAGCCTTTCTTCACAGGAGAGATGCTCCAGACCCTTCATCATCCTCGTGGTCCATTACTGGACTCTATCCAGTCTGTCCGCGTCTCTCTTGCACTGGTGAGCCTAGGACTGGACCCAGCACTCCAGGGGTGGCCTCACCAGGGCTAAGCCGAGGGGAAAGATCGCTTCCCTTGGTCTGCTTGGAACACTCCTCAAGCAGCCCCGGACACCGTCCACCTTCTGTGCTACGAGGACACGCATTTGGCTCATGTTCAACCTGGCACCCACCAGGACCTCCAGGGCGTTTCCTGTCGAGCTGCTTTCAATGTGGGCAGTCGCCAGCACAGCCTGGACTTTGAATTCTCCTTGCTGAGCTTCATGACGTTCCCATCAGGGTTTCCTTCCACAGCATGTCACAGACACATTGCTGCTGGACCAGGCTCCCACACCAGCCTCTTCTGGTATAGCAGTAATTAAAAGCCTGAGCCCCAGCCAGGGTTCAGTGCCCTCCAGTGTGCAAGACCATGGCACTGTCTTCAACCTCTGCCTCCCACCAGAAATGCACAGGTTTATAAGAATAAGCTTTATTCACTGCAATGAGTTCACAATCAATACAACTATGAAATAAAAGCCCAAACAGCAAAATTATCATCACCTCCGTCACCGAGGTGAGGTACAGCTCAGCTGGGATGGAATCCCAGACTGGTTTGGGCTGGAAGGAACCTTAAAGCTCACCCAGTTTCAACCTTTGCAGGGGCAGGGACACATTCCACAAGACCAGGTTGCCCCAAGCCCCTGTGTCCAACCTGGCCTTGAACACTGCCAGGGATGGTGCAGCCACAGCTTCTCTGGGCTGTTAATAGGTGGCACCTCAGTAGAAAATCCCAATGGATATAAAAATAAACATGGCCCCAGGCAGAAAGGGGAGGAAGCAGGTCCAGGCCCTGCCTGGAACTCTTCAGTCTCAGTGGAGCAGCAGGAGAGTGATGGTGGCTCAGGGTCTCATACGGTGGAGGCCAGCCAGGTCATAGGGCAGTTCCTGTGGGGCGTTTCTTCCTCCAGATCAAGGTATGGGCCAGGCCGGGGTGTTCTGGCATCTCCAGCAGCCACCAGTGGGGCTGGAGCAAGGTCCACAGCACCCAGAGAGTGATGTCCAGCACCAAGATGATGTTCAGTGCCTGCTGTGCTGGGATGGCCTCATCTGCACCCTCAGGACCCAGAGCAGGGCTAGAAGATGGCCCTGGCATGCACACAGACTCACCACGAACCACTGCCACAGGCCCCTGCCAAGGCCAGGGCTGGGGACGCTCGGGTCACCCGTCAAGTCCCAGAGCAGCATCACATCCCTGTGGGACCGAGTTTGGCTTCTCTTTCCCACCACTGTGGCTTTTAGTTCTCGGGCACATTTCTGGTTGGAGAAGTAAACAAAACCTCATGTCTACATGCAGGCACAAGGAGATCCAGAGGAACGAAGGAAAAGCGAAAGCTGAGCAGTGAAACTGCGGCCACAAGCGCAGCACCAGCACTCAGGCTGGCTGCAATGAAAGGCTGAAGATCATAGAATCGTATCATCACAGACCAGTTTGGGTTGGAAGGGACCTTACAGCTAATCCCCATCCAACCTGGCCTTGAACACTGCTAGGGATGGGCAGGCACAGCTTCTCTGGGCACCCTGTGCCAGTGCCTCATCGAGGTCTCCTGGGCACCTTGCTTGGATGCCCGTGTTCCACTTGCCCCGAGCTGTAGCTGAGCAGCAGCGAGGGATTGTCACTGGTGGGATGCGGTCTCACTATGCTGGGCATTGGCACCCCGGCAAACACCTCACACAGCAGTGCCACGCTTCAGCACATCCCAGTCCCAGCCCCGCCAGCAAAGCCTGGCTGTATTGGGCACGGCTCCCGCAGAGGTGCTTGTGTCAGCTCCTGCCATGACTGCACAGGGACCCCAAAGCCAGCACGGGCTGTGCGCTGCGGGGTCTGCAGGGTGCTGGGGACCCGCCGCAGACATCGCTCCAGCCCTGGTGGTTCCCAGCCGCACCTGCAGGCAGTGCTGTGCTGGGAAAGTGGTATCGATGGAGCTCCCTCCTCAATGCACACAGCCCGGCAGAGCCACTGGAATGCCTCAGACAAGAAATTCCGGTACATGGGAAGTTCTGGGTGCAAGAAGGAAAGTGAAAACGGGCACGGCCGCAGGCAGGGGAGGCAACTGCCCGTGACTCATCGGCTGCTGCGTGTTGCCAGCATGGAAAAGCCTTGGCCACAAGTCACGCTGCGGGAGCAGGTGCAGGGGGAACCCAGATGGCTCCTTCCTGAGCCCTTTTGGAGCTTGTCTGGGATGAACTGGCTCCTGCCAAAGTCGCCAGGCTTGGGAAAGATGAGGGAAAGAACCAAAAACGCTGTCCCCAAAAGCCAGCTTAAAAAACAACCCCCCTGGGAGACGTGCAGGAGCCCATGGCCACGTGCTGAGGCAGGGGAGGGACATCGGGTGGCCTCCACTTGGCACCATCTCCAGAACTGTACCCACCAGCCCAGTGGGTCAGTGCCACCAAAGTGCTGCTGGCCCTACTGTGCACCCCAGAACCCTTCACCGCCTCTTGGTGCCGTGGGGCTGGCTTGTGCCACGCTGTGTGTCCCACGCTGGTGATGCAATCCCTGGTGTTACATCACTGCCAGTCACCTCCTGCATCACCCTGGGGCTGTGCTGAGCAACGCGCAGTGCTGGGGAGGGAAGGGCTGGTAGCTCCAGAGTTACTCAGTGAGGACATTGGATAGAGAGAAAAAACTGTTCAATTTAAAGATAAAAACCCCAAACAACACTTTGTCCCCAGAGCCTTTGTGCTGGCACTGGAGGCACATGGGGTGTCCCTGGGCTGTGGGAATTCACCCCACCAGGACAGAGCTGGGGCTCCCTACACGCATCCCCACAGCCGTGTCCTGGGCAGGAAGAGACCTCTAGTGCGTCCTGAGGAGAAGACAAGCCACCAGCCCCATCCTCACCCAGCAAGGGAGGTTTCATTCTGCTGCTCGCCCAAGCACACAGGGACCAGCCTCGCACCAGTGATGGGCTTTCTTCCCCCGGCTGTCCTCCTGGGACCCACTATCCCTCCGGGGAGGCACCAAGCAGGGTCAAAGCCTTTGCTCCCCACCCTGGGCAAGCTGAGCCAGCATCCAGTGACCCCAGTGGTGATATACCGAGGGTCAGGCACCCTTAGCCAGGGCAAGGAGGCTCAGACTCTGCAGCCATGGCAGGAGCATACCTGAGAGCCCCAGAACCCCACTGAAAAACCTCCAGCCCCACAAGCCTCCTCCGGGAGCGCTCTCTGAGGCAGGGAGCAGAGGTATCGGTTCTGCCTTTCTTACCCACGCACCAAGGTGTAACCAAGAGAGGCCACAACCCTCCCCATGGCATCAGGGCAGCATTCCTGCCAAGTGCAGGAATTACAGGAAAGGGAAGATCCCAGCAGAGGCTGTGACTGGACTGAAAATACCCAAAAGGCAAACAGGAGGAAACCTGTGCCATGCTGTGCCCAGCGTAGAACCCTGTTGCCTCTATCTGCCCCACCACAAAACACAGCCTCTGATCTTCCCTTTGAACAACAGTGGGCTGTTGGCCCTGTGGCAACAAGCCCAAAAAGGCTCCTGAGTGTGCTGTGGGGAAGAAACCTCCTGAGGGCTGAAGCAGCAGTGCTGGGCAATCCTGGGGCAGAGAAGCTGCTGCTACATCCACACCAGCCAGCAAAGCACCAGCGATGGTCACACAGTGGGTGAGAACAGCCCCTTTCCAGCTCGGCCTTAAGGGGCAGCACACAGCTCCCAGCTTAGCCCAGGCAGGGGAAGCGCAAACAGCCTTTTCTACCTAAAGCCCATCTGTCCCATGGAACAAGAGGCCACGCAAGGCCTAGGAAAGCAATGTAACCAATGTAACCCATGCCAGCAGGTGCTCTGCAGCCTCTCTTACAAAAGAGGAGCCGCAGCAACTTGTTCTCAGCTGGTTTTATTCCCAAGTGTGTAAGAAATGCAGAAAGTTTCTCAGCTGTTACTGTGATTCTCGTCTGCAGAGATGGGGTGCAGCCCAACCACCAGTCTGAAACAGGACCCTTCCCGTGCAGCCCTGGGGAGACTGGAGGACCAAGCTGGACAGGAACCCAAGAGCTGGCATAAGCCCTTATCTGCTTTCCACACCTCCAAATCTTAAGCCCCCAGAATTAATCTTCCCAAGGAATAAGAGTGGCACCAAGTGGGCTATTAGGAGACAACCCACTTTTGCCTGCCTTCCTTCCTTCCTTCCAGCACAGCTCAGAAGGGTTTCCTCTCATTGTGCCTTGCACCCCAGCACACAGACGTGCCTCACCCAGAACTCCACTGGGATCTCCCGAGAAGAAACTCCCATCATCTCCAGCATCCTGAAATGAAGCAGAAGAAGGGTCTCACTCTGCTCAGCCAGCTCCCACCTGACATGGTGTGACACCCACAACCAGAGATGAACCCGAATGGTTTGGGGTGGAAGAGACCTCAAAGCTCATCCAGTTCCAAGCCCCTGCCATGAGCGGCAACACCTTCCACTAGAGCAGGTTGCTCCATGCCCTGTCCAACCTGGCCTTGAACACTGCTAGGGATGGGGCAGCCACAGCTCCTCTGCGCACCCTGTGCCAGCACCTCAGCACCCTCACAGGGAAGAGCTTCTGCCTAAGAGCTCATCTCAATCTCCCCTTTGCCAGGTTAAAGCCATTCCTGTTGTCATGTCCCTACAGACCCTTGTCCAAAGCCCCTCTCCAGGTTTCTTGCAGCCCCTTTGGGCACTGGAGCTGCTCTGAGGTCTCCCCTTAAGGAGCCTTCTCTTGTCCAGGCTGAACCAGCCCAGCTCTCTCAGCCTGGCTCCAGAGCAGAGCTGCTCGCCCTTGCAGCATCTCTGTGGCCTCCTCTGGACTTGCTCCAACAGCTCCATGTCCCTTTTGTTTTGACCAGGACTCTTTGACTGTGACCATCCTTATTCACCAAATTGTCCATCCATCACATACATGGCTCCCCAGTTTAGAGGCAAGGTTTTCATGTGGGACAGTGTCAAATGCCTTGCATGGCGGTCTTAACGGCAGATGCTTCCAACACATACACAGAATTTGTCTTGGTCAATGAGTAAGTCAGCAGGCACACTTGCCCCTTCCCAGCTTTGCAGCAGGCCCTTGTTGTGGGCCAAAATAGGCTGGTCAAGATGCAAGTGTCAGTGTTTTCTCCTGTCCTCTGCTAGTCAAGAGGATAGCAAAGAAACCCAAGACATCTCTGAGATGAGACTTAACATGGATACATCAGTGCAAGCCCACTGTACAGCTACATGGACTTCAAAAGCTTTAAGTCAACTGACTCAAACTGATGTCAGTAGTTCTGTGGTGAGCTGAGGATCTGCTGTTTAACCTCTGATGTGTATCCCTCCACAAGGGGGGAAGGAGGGAGCACATCACTGCCCAGCTCACTTCCAGCTTTGAAGGGGTCTCCACAACCTCACCCTCCATGCCCTGCTTGTTTTCCTAAGCAGATTTCTCACCTCTTTTCTGTCTCTTGGAGGAGGGATTTTGCAGCTTCAGGGTCATTCTTCATAAAGGCTTGATATGGAGAAGATGACTCTAAGTAACCCACCGCACCAGCGACAGTCATGGGAATTTTATCAAAGATATCGGTAATTCTAGGAGACATGAGGAAGAAAGCAGCATTGGCAAGTTAAATTTTAAAGGCAGTGAAACAAGGACAGCAGATTGACAAGGTGGTGAATACCTGATACCATGAAATACCAACAGATGGAAACAACATCCAATTGTGGCATTTGGTAGGTAAGAAGCTCCAACTGATGCACTACTAGGGAAGCAGAGATGGTTCTAAGGACCATCTAACATAGTCTGTGACTTGATCAGCCCTTTCAATACAGGCCTATTCCCCTCCAGGAGCCAGGACACCAACACGTCTGCACCACCACTGCCAATATGTCCTTTATGCCTGCAGAGTCAGCCCCTGCCCCAGGCCTTGGTGGGGAGGCAGGCACTGGCTCCCTGCAGTTCTTGGCAAGTTCTTTCACTCACTCCACTGTTTCCCCTTCATCATTAAGTGATCAGCCCAGACCCTCAAATTATCATAACTTACCACAAAAAAAATCCCTAACCCAGTTCTGCCTTGAGCAGGAAGGGCTTTTGCACCCCTCAGACCTCACATGCTGGCCCAGCATAGACCCACATCCAATTCAGCAGAAGTGGAAGTGCAGCCCATGCTGGCCACAGTACAAAGACATGTGCTGGAAGCTGGCAGCTGCCTGCTCTGGCAAACCCAACTCTGTCTGGACTGGTGGCAGAGAGAGGAGCGGAGATGACACCTCTGTCCACTGCTGGTGCTGCACCGAGGGGGTTCTGCTCACCTCTTCTTGTCTGGGAACGGCAAGGCCTCGAAGATCTCTTTGTAGTCTTCCAAGACAAGTTTTATTCTGTGATGCGAGTATTTCAGAAGCAGGTCCCAGCACTGTAAAGGCAGTGTATTAAAAAGCAAACAGAGCCCTCCTGAAAGCTCTGTTTCATTTGGCCCTAGATCTGATGCATTCATAAATGTACTTTTTTATTAAACACTCTTGGCGTTGAAACACACCAAAATCTTTCTTAGCATCAAGAACTTCAGAATACTCTTTTATTATAGAGATAAGGGTCCTGTCCTGCTCCCTGCACTGCTGTTACTCATAGTGGAAAGTCTCCTTTTATCAAGTTATTAAAACACTCTCTGTCAAGAAACATCACTAAAAAAAACCTCTTTCTTTACTTCCCATTCTTTTCACTGTAAACAGAGCAAAAGAAGTCTCTTTGACAATACCAGCCCCCCCACATCTGCTCTGCAGCCCTTCTCTCCACATCAGTCTGCCTTATTAATCCTAATGCCCTCTTTTTCTCATCCATCCATCTTGCCATATCCCCCAAGCCCACTACTTTCCTCTCTGCCTCTAAGTACTACACACTTTCCCCTGCTCAGACCAGGAGGGGAAGCCCTGAGGTTTAGGTTTCATCACCTCACCTCCCTAAAGACCTGGGTCAGTTTTTCAGAGCACTTTCCATAGCGCAGACTCATGTCCATGGTGTAGGTGCTGATGGCCACGCAACCCCCCGGCCTGACCACACGCTCTGCTTCCCTCATGAACTTCTCAGTATCAAACCAATGTGCAGCAGTGAATGAAGTCAGGAGGTCCACTGAGGCATCCTTGAATGGCAGCTCCTCTGCAGGGCACACACTGGAAGGGGAATGGAAAAGGGCAGTGTGTAATATGGGAATTAGAGAGTAGCATATTAAGTCAGTACGTATTTCTTGGAGTTGATGATGACCACTTGGGATGTAAGACCATGGCTACTCAAAGTCTAGGATAATGCCCGCTCACACCAAGAATTCCATCAAATAGGATTTTCTTTGGTGCCAGCTGGCTGTTATAACAGTGACACTCAGAAAACTCCACCTCCACATGAGGACCTGAATTTTGCTGCCCCGACACTCACAGGTAGGAGACATTGGGCATGGAGGGGCCCTCCCTGGCCTCCTGGATCTGTGCTTCGCTGATGTCCATTCCCACCACTTTCTTGAAGTGCTCTGCAAGGAAGCGGGTGCCTTGTCCAGACCCACAGCCAACATCCACCACCAGTTCAGCAGGGTTTATCCTCTGCAGAGAGGAGCGGATGCATCTCAGCAAGCTATCACCCTATTTTGGTATTTTCACTCCATTTCTTCCCCCAGCATCCACACAGGAAGAGCCTTGGAACGGTACAACCCGTGGAAAAAGCTCTTCTATGCCCACATCTTGCATTAAGCCCTACTGATCTATCCTTCCCAGTGTCACCAACCAAGGTGACACTCTCATCAAGGCAAATGCCACCACCCCACCAAATGCCACCACCCTGTTTTCCCTTCAGCCTGGCCATACCCCACGCACCTTCTCCCGCAGGTAGCTGAGAATGGTTCGCTGCAGCTCTTTGCCTGGTGCAAACCTGTATTTCTGGTAGATGGCTGCGTGCCCCCTGGTCTCGAACATCTGGGTGGCCATGCTGGGGTGACCTGGCATGTGGGAGGAGGCAGCCAGTCGGGTTTGTCACCACAGAATCCAACTCCTCAGCATGTGACCCTGAGGGCTGGACTCTCCATTTGCTGGCAGGGGCCCAGGGAGGATTTTGCCCATGAGGCTCCAGGCAGAGTGTGAGCATGCTCTCCAGGCATCCCTCCCACAAGTATGAGCTAATCTCAAAGCAAACTAGTGGCGTCTGACAAGGAAAAGCCTTCTAGGTTTTTAAACCCTTCCTCTCCTTACTCCTTTGCTTTCCCCATCCGCTTGGGTGCCTTCTGAAATAAATCACCACTCCAGCTGGACTGTCTGTGAAATTTGGGGGGACTGAGCAGAGCATCAGAAAAAAACTGACTGCAGAAAAGTTTGTTTCTAAAGGAAATCCGTGTTTTAGCGTTAGCAACACGATCACAGCAACTCCACCCTGCGTCTCCTGAACCATCCAGCGTTCCTTTTGTCCCTTGCTGCCCCAGAAGTGTCCAAAGTCACTTTTAAATACAGACTCACCCCCACAGGCAGGTGAGCCTGGCCTCACTGCAGGACCCCTCAGGCCTCCCATCACATCAGCCCCACATACACAGCACCATCTGCCCAGCATTCAGATCTGCTTTCACAGGTACAGCACACAGATCCCTTGCTCACCCATCAATTTACCCTCCTCCAAGTCCTATAAACCATACTGGGCAGGCTCCCACAAGTCCCTGATGGGCTTGATGATCTTAAAGGTCTTTCCCAACCTAGCTGATTCTATAGCACGCTGCTCTTCACACATCACAATGTACCAGAAGGCTCTTGGCCATATGACTACACCTCGGTAGCGTGAGGACAGAGCACAGGAGCCTGTCCAAAGGCCTCCCTGCAGCTTGACCAGCAACTGCTCCTCTCACATGCTTGCAACAAGCAAGGCAGAAGGATGCAACGACAGCGAGTGACACAACTATCAAACATCAGGCAGTAAAGGGTTAGGGCATGTCGTGGTGCAAGAAGGGACCCTGAACTGCCCCTGGCAGGCTACAGCAGCCCTGCCAAAACCCTTTTCGGAGGGGAGCCCTCGAGGTGCCTTCCGTGTGCTCACTGCAGCCTTGTCCCACCAGCAACCCCCTTTCTCCCAACTCCCACGCAGCTTCAACCCTCCTCTTACCGCTCCCAGCCTCGGCAGCTCCCAGCGCGCCCCGCTGCCGTGCTCCGCTCTGGGCAAGGCGGAGGCCCGGCACCACCCGCCCGCTGGAGCAAGGACCGGAAGACAAGGCTCGGCGCCTCCGCCCCGCCGGGATCCGGCCCCGCTGCAGCGTTTGCGCGGTTCTTGAGCCTGTGATGAGCTACGGACCGCGAGTGGGGGTGCGGGGCGGCGCTGCGCACCCCGGGGAGCGGTGCGAGGGGCAGCAGGTGATGCAAGGCAGCAGGAGAACAGGATTGACGTGCTGCGGGCACCCCAGAGCTGTACTCACAGGGGTGCTGGTGTCCACCAGAGAGCAAAGGCGCAAGCAGAGCCTTATATGACACCTGCACTGACTATAGAACACACAGCGTTGGAATTTCAGGACTAGGCAAAGCCCCTCCCCTGGTTTGGGGCAGGATTTTACCCGCTTGCCTGCTATAGTAATGCTCATTCCATACAGCATGAAGCCAGCATGGCCCTGGCTCGCTTGAAGCACGTTCCCTTCAGTGTGTATTCTGCACAGGACTGTGAATCTGTGCTCAGTAACACAAACTTTAAGCCCTTCCTAATGTAAAGAGAAATCAATGAAACTCCCCCGGGGACTGCAGATGGAGGCTGCCTTGAAGCAGTTTGCAGCATGGGTTGTGTCCTGAGTGTTTCATCTGGGTCATCTGCTTTTAATTGTACCTGGGGTGTCTGTATGTATGTGTGTGTGTATCTGCACCAAGGGAAAACACAACACAAGCACCACAAGCCTCCCCCCCCCCGCCATGTTTTCATTATCTGCAATGTCCTACAGCATCTGGCAAGAGTTCAGCTTCTCTGGGGTATAGATATTCCCACTTTTGCCTGTGCTTTGCAGAGGGCAGGGCTGCACACAGGAAGGGATGATGTCCTGGGCTTCAGTCACCTGCCCTCTTTCTAACTCTGAGGTCTCCATAGCACAGGCTGCTCTCATGAGCAATGTACAGATGAGTCTCAACCTATGATCCTGCCAGGGGTGGGGCAGCTGCAGCTTCTCTGGGCAGCCTTGTCAAAACCTCCTACCTTGTTTTGGGAAGAGCTGCTCTGTTGTATCCAGAACAGAGCTGTGGCTCTCGGAGCAAGCCTGGCTCTGTAATTGTGTTTATGCCATCGCCAGCAGTTAATTTTCTGGCAGAAAAACCTTCCCTCATTTCACCTGCAGAACGCTTAACCAGCTTCTTTTCCTGCAGCTACAAAACACGTGTTGCAAAACTCACGAACTCCTGTAATTAATTACCCCCATTTCTCAAATGGAAAACAAATCCTAATTTCTGTATTTTAAACCCAGACACCACAACCCTGGGCCCTTCTGTTTTCTACCTGGGAAGCTTTAAAACTGAGTTTTCTCTTTTCCCTAAAGATGTGCCATTCATCCTCCTTCCCTGCAATGAAGTCAATGTCCCACTCACCTCCAGGTTTCACAGCTCCTACATCTCTTCCCATAGGATCCGGTGTCCCAGCTGACTGCTACACCCTTTTCAAGGCAGTTGGCACGTTGGCTGGTTGGTCTCATGCCTGAGCACACAAAATGTTGGAGAACAAATAAATTCTGCCTCCTCCCTTAGCTCACCCTTCTGTAAATCCTTCCCCAGAGCATGTGGGGGAGTTGGAAGCCCTGGCTGAGAGCAAAGCCCCAGCATTGGGATCTTCAAGAAACAATAAGAAACAAGTCCTTCTCCCATAATTTCACCTTTTAATTAAGAAAGATGGGAAGACTGACTGTGTGGTGATGAATGAAATGGAAGTTAGAATTCACCTGAGAATTCCTGGCAGAGCATGTGAGATCTTCCATGCTCCTGTATGCTTCTGGCCTTGAACACTGCCAGGGATGGGGCAGCCACAGCTCCTCTGGGCACCCTGTGCCAGCACCTCAGCACCCTCACAGGGAAGAGCTTCTGCCTAAGAGCTCATCTCAGTCTCCCCTGTTCTGGCAGGTTAAAGCCATTCCCCTTTTCCTGTCCCTACAGGCCCTTGTCCAAAGCCCCTCTCCAGGTTTCCTGCAGCCGCTTTAGGCACTGGAGCTGCTCTGAGGTCTCCCCTTAAGGGGCCTTCTCTTGTTCAGGCTGAACCAGCCCAGCTCTCTCAGCCTGGCTCCAGAGCAGAGCTGCTCCAGCCCTCGCAGCATCTCCGTGGCCTCCTCTGGACTCGCTCGAGCCACACAGTGGTGGCCAGTGATGGCCCGTTACAGCCACAAGGGACATAAGGGCCAAGAGGCCATGAACGCAATGCAGCGCCGCACCGAGAGTCCGGCAGGATGCGGGATGGTGCAGAGAATGTCTGGCCCTAAGTCGACCCTCTCCGAGCAGCCGGGGGAACGGGGAAGGGCACGGGGGCGGAGCGGCGGCCGGGGGCGGGACCGGGATGGGGGACGGAGGGACCGTAGGAGGGAGGGACCGTGGGAGGGACCGGCCCGGGGAGGGCCTGGCCTGGCCCGGCCCGGCCCGGCCCGGCCCGGCCCGGCCCGGTCCGGCCCTGCCCGCCGCGCTCTTCGGCGACGCCGATGGGGCTGCGGGCCTGGCTGTACTCGTTGTGCGGCTGCTGCGGCTGCTGCGGCGGGGAGGCGGCGGCGGCAGAGAAAGAGCCCTTGCTGAGGTGAGACCCCGTCGGTCCCCTGCCCCTGCGAGAGATGGGGCTGAGCCCCCTCTTCCTCTTCCGCCGATGCTCCCACCGGGGATGGGTCCGGTCCCCTGGTCCGCAACCGTGCGTGAGCCCCTCTGCTCCCCCACTCTCAGCAGCTCTTTCCCGCAGGCTGGCTGCCCCGGCGCGCCACGCCGAGCCCCGTCTTCCCCCTAAGACCGTCTCAGTGATTTTACAGCCGCTGCTTTCCCTGGGGGGTTGGCCATCCCCTGTCAGAGCCGGTCAAGGTTCCCAAGGGATTTTCTGCCGTTGGTACCAAACTGCTTTCAGTTCTCTTTCCACCCGGGTTGGTTTCCCGTAGGGGCCGGGTTCTTTCTGACACCTCATGGGACAATGCATGCCAGGCTGTTGGACAGGGCTTGGAGCAGCCTGCTCTAGTGGACGGTGTCCCTGCCTGTGGCAGGGGGTTGGAACTGAATGAGCTTTAAGGTCCCTTCCAACCCAAACCGTTCCACGATTCTGTGCTAAATTTTAGCAAGTGAACCAAGGGCAGCATCTCTGATGTTTCCTGTGTGCTCCTCGCCATAGGAACTGTTCAGCTTTTGTCTTTCTATGGTGGGGTTTCAATAGAGGAGGCTGAGGCACTGAACAAAAAAGGGGTCCCCATCATTACGCTGTGGGTCAGGTCCCACTGTTGGGCAGAACTCTATTCCCAGGCAGGGGATGCTGAAAAGCAGATAACATACTGCTGGAGCCAGCTTTATATGAAAGCAACATGCATGTTGCTTCCTGGAGAACAGCTTTTTCCCTCCTGCTGTCGGTCACATCTGTCTTGTGCACAGAGCTGTGAGGTTGCTGGGGAAGGGGGTTTTGTTTAAAGATGAAGCCCCAAGTCATGGAAAAGAGCTGTGAGCTGTGCAAGCGCATAAAGGAGGGTTTGCATGTTGCAAAACATCTGTGCGTGGGGATTGCGGCACCTCTCCTTCCTTTCCAGCTGCCAGCTGGGGTCCTGGCTGCTGCTGAAGCCCATAGTGGGATCCCCAGCCCTGGGATGGGGCAGGGACTGTGCCCTCCCTGTGTCATCAGTGGGACAGGGGCATTTCAGGAAGGAAGGTGGGATGCTTCTGCTGTGGCCTACATAGGTGTCAGGTAATAGCAGAGCTGGCACCAGTGTTTGAAATGTCCTGATTTTGTGCTGTTAGAGCAGTTCCCTAAATAATAACCAGATAATCCCGAGCATGGGGCTTTCAGTGCAGGAAATTGGCAATTAACCTAAGGGGAGCAGAGCAGGCATGCAGGGAGGCTCCATCCTGTGCATCACTGGCCAGGGTGCCTGTCCCTCCCCAGGCACCTTTCTTTAGTAACATGCCTTCTGCTGGGGATCCACTTAATGCTGCTGGCTCTACGCAGGAAAGCCTGTATAAATGCTGGGCGTTCCAAAGGCACCTGCTCTTGCACACTGTGCTGGCATAATTAATCTAACAGCCTAATCACTGGCTTGTCCCTCTTCAGGAGGCTTTGGGCTTTTATTTCAAGGCAGGGATCTTGCCAAAGCACAGCTGCTGTATTGTCGGTTTTATTGCAGCATTGTTTAAAAGGAAGGACTTGCTTGAGATTTCAGATATTTTAGCTGAGTTTCAGATTTTGGGGAGGTGGTGTTGCTACCAAAAAGTTGACTTTATGACTTTTCACCTTATTTTCCCCAAGTGGACTGGTTGCTGCCTTATAAGTCCAATGTGTCAAAGAATAAAGCAGTGAGGAGGAGGTAATCTGTGTATAATGATGTGCATATTTACCTGGGCATATACAACCCATGAGGCCAGTGAAAGCAGCCAGCACTCTGTGTGGAGATGGGGATGGACCATAGCGTGGGGCTGGGAAAGGAAACCCTGGACAAAGCCAGTGAGCTGGGCTGTTGCAGGGAAGCATCTAGGCTGCCTGTCTGCCTCTTGATACACAAAAGTGGAATCTGGCTCAGGTGGTGTCCTTGGGATGCAAATAAAATGAGAATTTGGACTCCAAAATGAGTTTAATCTGGACTGAATGTCCCTTGGAGCAGAAATGCGTTGATGAAGCATTAGTGCTCTCCATTTTCTGGAGAAAACCCAGAGTGTGAAATGGGCTGGGTCCCCTCTGGTCCCACAGTAACCGCCAAGCAGGCTGCTGTTTGTGTGCTCCTATTTTTGCTCCTATTTCTTCATTTTAAATGTTTCCTGGGAGTCCAGCACACTCAGGGTGTTCCCTGTTGGCAGGGCTCCTTGTGCTTGTGTGGATTTGCTGACTCCTGGGCACTGCTTGCCTTCCTTACAGGCTGCTGGATGCTTTGGAAATAGAGGCACATTGGGAAGTCCTTACAAACTGTGAGGGAGTGGCTCATAAAAGCTAAGGCTTGTTGGTGTTACTGTTTGAAGTAATGGGATGCTGTGGGTACCAATAAGTCACTGAGTGGGAAAAAGCCTGTTGAAGGCAGGATGGGACTGGACACATGCTGAGAGCACATCTGGCTCCTGAGAGATGCCTTCCACGCTGGGATCCTGTCTGCTCCACCTTTGGAAAATGGTTTGAGAAAACCCATGCTGGCTCCAGCGTAGGAAGGGTTGAGTTATGCCATCCACACCTTCTAAGTTACGTTTGTTTGCTTGTCTTTAACGAGAGATTATAAGAGATTATCTTTTCCCTTATTACCTGTTGCTCAGGTTTTTGGTTTGTTAAAAGTCTAATTAAGCTTCCTGCAGGAATGCTGATGTGAAGGGCTTTTTCTATTTTATCTACGTGCTGAAGCTCATCTTAGCATCTTTTTTTTTGGCTTGGCATCATGGTTAAGCACCCGCAGTGTTATCTGATGTTTTGCTGGATAGCTTCCTTGTGAAAAGAATGAGATTTGGATAGCAAATGGAATAAACAGTGGAAATAAACAGAAGTGAGCAGGGATTGCCACAGGATGGCTGGTGAGACTATTGGGTAAGGCTGAAAATACTTTTCCATTTGTGGTGTTCTGCTCAAGTGTTTGGACATCTTGATTAGAAAAATTATGGAAATCCTCTGCTAAAAGATGTCCCAGCAGAATTCATAGAACTACAGAATGGTTTGGGTTGGAAGGGATCTTAAAGATCATCCAGTTCCAACTGCCAAATTAAATAATCCTGTAAAGAAAAATGCATACCCCAGTAGCAACATAAATCCATAAAATCAACAGAACTGCCACCAGTGCAGAGAAGACTTCACTTGGTGGGGACAGCCTTCCCAGAAGATGATGGTCTGCTTTGCTGACCACATAAGGCTAGAATTCACATGCAGGCTGTGGACATTTCCATCCCCAGATAGAGACGGGGCTACATGTCCTTTCTGCATGTTGGCACAGGTCCCCGCACAGCTCAGTGCATCTCTGTACCTCTCAGGTAGGAGCTGCTGGTGTGGTGAGCACCTGTAGGGATTGCCTGCTTGATTTGGTAGGGTTTGGGCTGCTGGGGAGAAAACAGACCTCTAGGGTCACACAGAAACATGGTGGTGGATGTGGGATCTCTGGAGAGCATCCACTCCAATCCCTGCTCGAGCAGGGTCAGCTGGAGCAGGTTGCCCAGGACCGTGTCGGGTTTAAGTGTCTCCAAGGACTCCACAACCTCTCTGGGCAACCTCAGTGTTCACCCACCATTCTTATGAGTAAACAGAATTTCCTGTATTTCAATATGTGTCCTATCATGGGGCAGCACTAAGAAGGGTCTATCTCTGTCTCCTTCGCTCTCTCCCATCAGGTACTTGCACACAGGCAAGTACGCGATGGTACTTGGGGAGGTAAAAGGATGATGATGAAGTACCTAACGCTGCCTCGTCTCTCCCCTTCTCTGCAGTAACAACAACCCCTACGCCTCCTTTGGAGCCACACTGGCACGGGATGAGGAACAGAACCTGTGGAGCACCCCACATGACGTGACCCACACAGAGGCAGATGATGACCGGGTTCTGTACAACATGATTGTGGTCAGGAACCAGCTGGACAAGGACTCGGAGGTGAGGTGGTGCCATTCCTGCACTAAGTTTCACCAAGCACCCGTTAAGCTGCTATAAACACCCCAAAGTCCCCCACTCTGGCTCACATAGACGTCAGGTCCTCCCATCTGCTCCATCACCCTCCAGATTTTACCCTATATCTGGTGTGGATGCATCTGTGGATGTCATCCCTGGGATGCTCCCTGAGCTGGGATGCACGGTGCCCTGCAAGCACCTCTACGCCACCACCACCAAATGTGTACTGGTAGCAGTGGGATCCCCAGCTCAATTGCCTAGCTTCACAGGCTGCTTGTTTGTGTCCAGTATTCCCCTGGTTTGGCCTTTCCCTGGTCAGACTGGTGTTAGCCCCGCCCGCAGTGGCGTTCACCCGGCAATGGCAGCGCCTGGAGCTGAGCTGCCGCTCCACTGACATGTCAAGTTAAATACTTTCCTGATGGGTTGTACAGCAATTATTGAGAAGCAGAGAACTGGCACAGCTCTTGGTGCAGAAGGGAAAAATTATCACTGTTACATAAAGGCTGCTTTGCAGCCCTGATTTCCTTCACTAAAGCACTTGGGTGCAAAGCAGATTTCAGTGGCCTGATTAGGAGCAGGCTGTAGCAAATAGTGACACATTCTCCCCTCTCTGATTGCTTCTAAGACCTCAAAATGCTTGCAGCAAAGCCTGGAGGCTTCCCATTTAATTTCAACATGATTCCATTTCATCCAAGAGACTGCAAGACTGTAACTCTTCCTCCTGTTATAGTCCCCTCAAAACCAAAAGCTAGCTCAGCTTTCACAAGAAGCCTTAAACTCCAGAGGTAAAGCTGAGATCAAAATTACAGTATTTATAACTGAAAATGAGATAATGCAATCCTTGTATACAGCTGACCAGAATCCCCATTTAATGTGTTTGTTTCAGGGGCTTTTGGTGGGGTTTGAATAAATATTAATATTAGAATAGATGATTTTGTTATGTTTTAATGGCTTCATGTAACCTTTACAGTTATAACTGAAGATATGCTCTTCCCTCCCCACTGCTGTTTTCTCTACCTTGTGATTGCTTGTCTTCAAGAAGACAGGGAGTGTCATCCACCCCAAATTAGCTGAAGGAAACAAGGACATCTCTGTTTTAGGGGGCTATGCCAATCCTTGGTTGTTGCAGAGCTGGGTGTACTTAGGCAGTACTGAAGCTCCTGATTCCAGCCCTTTCAAGCGCCTTTTAGCTTGGTTTAGGGCTCATGATGGGGCAGGCCTCCTACAAGCTATTATTACTTATAAAACAGTATCACAAATGGATGGGCTGCTAAAAGGATGGCTCCCTGGGCAGATGAAAGCTGTGTGTCAGCCCTGCAGAGGACAGCATCAGTTGTGGGTGAGCAGGAGGGCTCTCCTGCTCCTGCCTATCCTTACACCAGTGCGCCTGCTTGTCCTAACCCCTTGTCCTAGCCTGCCTGTCCTAACACCAAGGCTTTCTCCTGCATTCAGTGTATCAGTAAGGTTCTTAGTGGGTCTGAGCAGTCACCATTCCTGCCAGTGAAAAAGGGAAGTACAAAGAGCATGCGGCTTCCTCTCCACAAGAGATATAAGATCACATACCCTGGGGTCTTTATGCAATGCAGTTAATAAAAAAGCCTGAGGAGTACAACATCAGGCTGACTTTGAAGAAAGCCAGTGCTTGATGTGCTTTATTTAAATGATGGCATGGTGCCCTTTACAGCTAGTCATTGCCTCTCTCTTTTACAGCTAAGGAAACTGAGGCATAATGTATAAGCCCAGCAAGCTGTTGCAGTTTCCAGCTGCAACTGCTTCTGTGTGGCAGGACAGGGAGGGACTTGGCCAGCAAAGCGAACATTCCTGTGTTCGGCCTCAAGTGCCAAAATCTCTCCTTACTACTGGCAAGCATTTTAAAAGTAGGCCAGATTGCATTGCCCTCCCCTCCTAATGAGACTTCAGCCCTGAGAGAGAGGAAAAAAAGTCTAATTGCAAAGGAGCACTGGGCTGCAAAAGCCATAATCTGCTTTGGGAGCTGCTCTGCTCCCAAAGTCCCTAGGGAGAGCGTGTGGGTGCTGCTGGACAGGAGATGGAGGAGCGAGTTTTGTGTGTGCAGTGCACCAACATTACAAAACCATAGGTCCTCTTTTGGTTAAAAGGGGACTTAAAGGAGAACTATTGCCTCTATTGCTGCTCCTTCACTTAAAGAACTTCTGGTGTGCTGTGCACTTAGTCTATGCTTTGCCATTCCCCACCTTTTTCTTAGCTATTTTCTAGCACAGGACTTGGGAAGGGTCCCAGGATGGATCTCTTCTGGCCTGGTCATCATTGTGCTGTGGACTGCGGTAAATGAATAAACCAAACTGCATTCAAAGGGCCAGGTGCTCCAACACCGAATGCACCGTGTTATCATTTGTGGTGGGGCTGTCAGCAGCTTGCAGTGTTGGTGTCCTCCTTCGGGATCATTTCCTTGCTCCCACCGTGGGGCTGGACGCACATGTGATCCATGCGGAACTGTTTCTTCTCCCTGGCTCTTCCTGATGGCCCCACTGTGAGAAATCTGGCAGCTCCAGCCCAAACTCAGTGTACCCTTAGCTTGTATAAGGATGGCAGGGCTGCTTCTCACTGAACTAGGGCAGGAAGCTCTGCAAAGCAAGCACCGTGACGTCCCGGGTGCATCCTGTTTCACACACGCAATTGGTCTTCCTGCTCAGTGTTGTGTGCTGGGAGTGTAGGCTCATGGGGCCACTGACCATGGTGGAGCTTGCTGGAGCGGTTGCCAAACCCATTGTGCAGTAGGTAGATGAGGCAAGATTCACTGGAGCCTCCTAAAGTCAGAAAGACTGAGCGACTTGCAGCTTCACATTTCTCTCTGCTTGAGGCTGATGAGTGTCACATCCTTGGATGCACTTTTGGAAGCAAAGTGTGGGCAAGGAAGAGTATGTGCAGAGAAAACCAGAAAAGCCATAGCTGAAGGGCAGGCTGAAGGGGGCTGATAAAGCTGATGCAGCCTTTGGAGATCAAAGCTGTTGTCAAAGCTTTTGAAGGCTGGGGTCAATGTTTCAGATACGGAAATACGCTCCTGTTCTGCAGCATTGTTGAACCTGGTGTGATGTAAAGCAAAACCCCATACCTGGAGGTGAACTGGGGACTTTCTAGGAAAACCGGATGTTCCTTAAGATACTGCATATATATAGGTGAAGTCACTGTTCTAACATGTGCCCTGCTAGTGTGGAGGAAAGCATTTTGTGGGGAACTGGACTACTGTGGCTCTGACAGTTCTCCAGTTTTAACAGCAAGAGCTGCCCTGGGCTCATTGCTTGGCTTATGTATGTGATGTGGACCTCCCAGAAGTCCAGTTTGTGGTGGTTTTGTTGCTTCAGTGTCTTCTGATGGGTTGCATGGCATCACCCAGCTGTGGGCAGAGCGCCTGAGCTGTTGCACTAGCACTGGTTTCAGAGAAGGAGCCAGGTTTTGGGCAGCTGCACCACAGGGCTGTGAACAGAAACTAAAGGTAGGGTTTTGCATTATGACTAGGGAAACATTGTTCTTATGGCTTGTAAATGCAGTGTTTATTTCTTCTTTCGGCTTATTCCTTTGGGGCAGGTGGCATCATAAACCCCGGTAGCAAATTCCTCTGCCTGCATTTCTGTGAGGGACCTGGCTAGCAGAGTTATGCATGATCCTCCTGGGAACCCATTAATGAGCTGACACAGACCCTTTTTCTGCTTTCTCCTGCTCTCCTACTGGCTTCTTTGTTTTTAAACAGATTGCAGAGAAGGTCAGTATTGCAACGTGCTGTTGCTGGGGCATGCTGGGTTTGAGTGCTGATGGGTTTGTAGAGGGTTGGGGATGCCAGCTGGGGAGCCCAGAACTGACCCTCTTAACCTGTATGCCTTTCTTAAACTGAACCCAGTTTAAGCTTTTTCAAAGCTGCAAAGTCAGTTGATGGTTCAGTGTATGAGCGTGGATCTAGAGTTTGTATTTGCTCAACTACTTCCGGCGCAGCCACACAGGAGCATCCCTGGATGCCATGTGGTACCTTCCTGCACTGATATTTCAGTTCTTCCCTGACAACTCTGTTTTGACCTCATTTCCAAAGTAACTCTTGAACAGAATGGTGACACCAATTACTTTCAAAGAAATAAAGGAAATGTTTCTGACAGAAGGTTGCTTTGGCAACATGAAGAAAGCTCCATACTAACTAGAAACTTTCATATGATCAGGGATGAAAAGTTGGACAGTGCTTGCCTGTTTCCTTGGCACACTTTTTTCCAGAGCTCTGAGTTGTGCACCAACCTGGCTTGTATTTCGTGCCCAGCATTTTCTCACCTCCGTTTGGCATTTGCAGTTTTAGTGTATCACACTACAGTCAGTTTTCCAGGTAAATATCTGGAGGGCTGAGCACTCAGAGAAGACAGCTGGTGGAGTTCCCCTGCTGCTCCTGGGATGTTCTTGACCCATGCACAAAGGATTTTCTCACCCAGGGCCAGTAACTGCAACCTGCTCTGGTTTCCTGCGGTTAATCCATATTTTGGGCAAAAGGGCATTTATTTCTTCAAGGATTGATTTTGAATGCAATGCTGGGATGTCCCAGACCCATAGAAACACCAAGGATGTGGGTGCACAGAATGCGGTGCACAGATGCAGCCGAAGTCTCTGATGTTGCCCATTCCTACACCCAGGCAGGACGAGCATTGCTCTTCCTCTGCTTTGTTGTTAAAGGGAGATGCTTGGTAGAATAATTTTGGGTGTGGAAAGATTTCCTCATTAAAGTAACACAGCAAACAGCCTCCTGCCCACAGTGTTTAGGATGCCTCTGCCACAAGAAATTGCCTGGGAAAACTCAGGATTGCTGAGGCTGATGGAGAACAGGGCATGAGTCCCTCTGAGAGCTCAGCCCATTGCTGCTCAGCCTCATCCTCATGATCTCTGCTGTTAATCCAGAGAAAATCAGGAGCAGCTTCCCTGCATGCTAAGCACTGCTTGCCGTGGAGCTTAACCCTGAAAGCTGCTGCCAAGTGCCAGCAAACTACGTTTCAGGGAGAGGAGCATCTTCCTCCCCCCGTCCCCCCACCCTGCCCCGGCTCGCTAAATCATCTGCATGAAGCACACTTGGAACCACAATGGCCATCTGGATTGACTATCTGTGTTAAAGCTTGTTTATCTCTGCAGGAAGGCAGAGACATGCCGCTTATATCCCCACAGCATGCCCAGATTGGTTTGCTCTCCTTTCTGCTTATACCATGGGATCACAAGCAGGCTGAGATGTTTCCAAGTGATCCCTGCCAGCAAGGACCATCGTGCAGCCCTTTTAATCTCTTTTTAAACCTTTCAAGTCTGCAATAAACTTCCCACAAAGCTTGAATGCAATTCAGCCCCCCTTCTCCTTTTCACTGAGGGGATCTGGGTTCCTGGGTGCCACAAGAGAGGAGGGTCTGGTCCCTGCCTGCTTTCTCTTGCAAAACTAGCTGCAAAAAACTCCAGGGCTAGGAACTGCAACCTACTGTGGCTTCCTGTGGTTAATTCAGATTTGTGCAAATGGGTAATTTTAATTCAAGGATTGATTTTGAGTGCAGTGCTGGGATGTCCCTGCCTGCTTTCTCTCTGCTCTATGGGAAGATGAGCAGCGCAGAGTGAGCAGAGCTGTTTCCCCTGCTCTCCTGACCTGAATTCACCAGTGACTTAACCCCAACGGCTGCTTCTTCCAAAGTCTGATCTCCAGCTCAATATCAGATCAGTTCTTTAGGGCACCAGGTATCGGAAAACCGGTGGGATTTCTAGAATACATCCAGCCTTTCTGGGTGTTGTTTAACCCCTTTGAAACCAGCATGACACGTAGGAAAATCCCAGGCAGACAGCACAGATTAATGCCTGTTTATTCTACAAGAGTCCATCTCTGTAATCTGTTGCTGAGAAATGAGATTAATTAAGGTTATTAGTGCAAGGGAATTAGCTGAGCGAGGTTATGACCTGCTGTTGGGATGCTTCTGTGAATGCATCCTTTGCAGTGTGGGCATTGATTAAACTCAGCTAGTAAAGTACTCCTGGTTTTCCTGCAGAATATATGGATTTTCACAGGAATGCATACTTATAGAATGGAATCATAGAATCATAGAATAGTTTGGGTTGGAAGGGACCTTCAGATGTGTTTAATTGTGCTGGTATAGCTTCAGTAAATAACCTTAAACTCTTCCCTTTTAGACAGTGACCCATTATGCAGATATATCATAGAATCATAGAACGGTTTGGGTTGGAAGGGACCTTAAAGATCACCCAGTTCCAACTCCTGCCACAGGCAGGAGCACCTCACACTAGACCAGGTTGGTCCAAGCCCAGTCCAGCCTGGCCTTGAACACTGCCAGGGAATTTAAAGCTTGAGGTCAAGTGCAAGGATTTAAGCTGTAGAGCTAGATGAGGCATTAGCTGTAGCAACTGGCAGCTACTAATAGTTATTATGTCAAATGACTCCAGCTCAGTCCTCAACCATCCACATGCATCCCACTTCTCTGGTATTTAAAAAAGGATACCCCAGCCTTTAAAAAAAAAAAAAGTCTATTTTTTTCTTGTTTTCTCATACTTTTGAAACCCTGCCTACTCCAGTTAAATGCCAAACAGAGGGCTGAGCAGTTTGGAAAAGCCAATGTTTGACCATGCTGAGAGCAGTAACTTTTAGTTTCCCATGGGCTATCATCAGCCATGGGAACTGCATGGCTATCATCATGCCAACTGAACTGCAAGGCTATGGAAATAAGTTGTTGCAATATATTAATGTGTGGTTGTGGTTTCTCAAGCTGTAAGGGCCGAATAAGGTACTTTCACAAGCTCAGGTTTTGATACTAGCTGGAGTGTCAAGGTTTGGGGTAAAGGGCTTTGGCCCACAGACCTTTGTCAACCTTCATACCAATCCCTCTGTGCCAACATCGACAGTTCTGCTCTGGATCTGTTTCTAAAAGCTGGAATTCCTAGAAAATCAGCAGAAACCTCCCCACATGCAAATGATGATCTCTTATCCCTTTGCTTTGCAGGAATGGCAAAAGCTCAACTATGATATTTATACCTTACGGCAGACCCGAAAAGAAGTGAGAAGCAGGTGGAAACACATTTTGGAGGATTTGGGTAAGCTAGGGGACAAAATGATGTGATTTCTGTGGTACCAGTGATGGTTCAGAATGGGAATAGCTCTACAGAATTAGGCTGGTAGAGGAGAACCATAGGCAAACAGAATGAGGTTGCTGAGCAATGCCATCAGGTAGCCCACATAGCAGCTGAGAGCCTGTGGAGATTCTCCAGAGCTCAGGCATGGCTGGGAGGAGATGGGGCTACCGTGGCACATCAAAACGCCTGTAAATCATGATCAGTGGTGGAGCCTTTCAAGCCTGTAATAGCATGCAGAGTCATCTGTTTCAAGCTTCCTTGTGGAAACTTAGCAGGGACACCTGCGAGTTCACATGGGTTTTTCTAAACAAGATCAACAGGGAGAAATGAATATTGCTTTCAGATTTGAACACAGATAAGTCTTATTTTTCTTCCTTAGCCCATGCCTTTAGCTGATGAGAGCTAAACCACCCACTTTGTTTACTCCTATTTGAAATATTCTTTCACCAAATGAAATGACTCAACAGTGGCCTTCCTACTTTTGGAATGTTTCCTAGCCTGCAAATAGTGAACTGCACCCACCAGTCCTGTGTTCTGAGCTGCTGCTCCTCGGGAGAATTCAGTGTGTGACCTGGTTTCTCACATACATACATAGCATGTGACACTCAGGCCGAGGAGATGTCCCATACTGACACATCAGTGTGGGGACTTGCATCATGCTCTGAGGGAGGTTGGCAGCTAATGAGAGAAGGATGTGGGAATTGAGCACACTTGTTGGGCTGTTCAAGGGCATTATCACTGGGAGACAGAGATGGGTATCTCAGCTGCTCCTGCCCTACCTGCTGTTCTGGGTGGGAGGAACACGATGAATTCACGTAGCCGGTACAGAGCAAACACGGGAAGGATCAGTTGACACCCTTGCATTTGTTACTGCATGTTGATGTGGCTCTCCGACATCTCCCTCACGTCTGCAATGGCTCAGGAGCTGTTTTGCAAAGGGTGGGGAAGCTCAAGGCTGGGGATCATTTGGCCTGAGCATAGCTAAGTGCAACCAGATGTGAAATCTGCTGTCTTTTGTTATCTAGAGCTGTGCTTTAATCCAAAGACCACCACTCTTTCCTCATAGGTATTTTCAGGTGAGACACACCACCACCAGCTCCCTGGAGCTGAACAAAGAGTTAATGGTAGCCATTACACTGAAAGATCCCTGCATTTATTTTCCTCCTTTCCTTCCTTGGATACCCTTCCTATAAGGGATGCTGACTGCTAAAGGAAAAATTACCCAGTCATTCTTTACTGCCAAAGGTTTTTTATCACTGTTACCTTCCAACAACACCAGCCCTGAAAGCTCTGGCAGCATCAGAAATCAACACCCTGGCTGTGGAAAGCTAGCAACAAACTTGCTCTGAACGCTTATACCTGCCTCAAATGCAGACACAGCCTGCCTGAGGGAAATGCTAGTTTGTTTTAGCAAACAGGGAATGCAGCAGCCCAAGGTGGAGGGCAGGAATGAACCTCGCAAGAGCCTGGAGGGCTCAGGGATGACCCTGCTTGCCTGTTTGACTCATTTCTGTAACATCCCTTTCCCAGGTTTCCAGAAGGAAGCAGACTCCCTCTTGTCAGTGACCAAGCTCAGCATCATCAGTGACTCTCAGAACATGGGCAAAGCCCGGGACATCTTGTTAAAGCTCTCTGAAGAGACAAACATCTTTCCAACTAGCTGGGAGCTTTCTGAACGCTACCTCTTTGTGGTGGTGAGTAGCTCCTAGCATGCCTTCCTCCCCACTGCCCCATTCCTGCAGGTGAGCTCAAATGAAGGGAAGCAGGTAGGTGAACTGTGTGTAGTGACTGTGAACCTCTGTTGCTTTGTTAGGACCGGCTCATAGCCCTGGATGCTGCAGATGAGTTCTTCAAGATGGCCAGCATGGTGTACCCGAAGAGACACAGTGGGGAAAGAGTGGATGATAACCAGAAGGCCCCGCAGTGCACCTCTGTTGTGATGCCCTGAGGAACCTGCCATGCTGGCACAAGATGGGTAGTAGGTTTCTTCCCTTCTGGGACCAGGCTCCTCTGATGAGGGGTTAGCACAAGTAGTGCTGCTCCTTGTTTTCCTGCAGAGAAGCAAGTGGGCCGGCCAGAGCAGAGCGAGGAGGTCAGTGAGCTGTGCCCCACCAGGAGGGTACAGGAAGGTGGATGCTGGTCCCAAGGTCCTCCTAAGCAGAAGGGAGCAAGAACTGCTGTAGTGTAGCCCTGACAGAAGACCGCTAGCCAAGTAGCATATGCAATAGGCACAGGGAGAACCTGCTGTGCCAGGTGTTGCTACCAGTAGCTGCAGAAGTTGAGATGCCTGTAGTTGCAAACCCTGCAAGGAGATCCGCGTTTTCACCATCCATTGGTACCTGCCACTGTCCCCTCCTTTGACCCTGCTAGCCAGGATGATGAGAGAGGGAGGAAAAATACTGCAGTCTGCAGCTCCATGATGTTTCTCTGTGCACTGCTCCTCTTCCTCATACCCAGTCCATGGCAGCCACACCAAGGGATTCAGCAAAGAGGAGCAACACTCTCCGGGAGAAGAGTTAATGCCCTGGCAATGCCTCGGAGCAGTGTTACAGTTGGGTACTCTACCCCAAGCCATTAGTGGTTTGGAGGTGTTTGTGTTGGGGCTGCTCAGCCTGACAGCTTAAAAGAAGGTAGATTTTAGGAAGGTGCCAAGGTCAGAGCTGCTGAGAATTTGGCTCCTGTGTTGTCCTCAGATTGGCTGCCCAACATCTTAATTCACTTCTGAAAGTTTTGGTCTTAATTACATTAAAAAAAACCACTATAAAGCTGCATGTCCTTTCAGAATATATGGTCCCTGCTGTTAATGAGGATTTTTAATGAATATCGTTTATATCTTGGGTTTTGTCTGATAATGAGCAATAATTTTAAAACACTGGATTTGATCCTTTAAAAAAAAGTGGAAGTTCTACACTGATTAACACACGTGCTGCTAATTGGCCAGTTGGAAATGCTGGTTACACAGGACCTCCCAAAATAGCAAACCAGAGCTTTTATTTGTTTATACCTACAGTGTTTGGAATATATATAAATATATTTATGAATTGCTTCTGTTCGTCTGTCTTGATGGGAAACATTTTTGTCAACTCAGGACATCAGTGAAAACGGAGCTTAATAAACAAGACACATTACAAAACTAATGTTTCTTACTCTCTGCAACCCTATTCAGGCAGCAACATTTGTATTGACTGAGGACAGCAGTTGGGGTATTTGTAGAGCATACGCCTCAGCGACATGTTCTCTGCACACTTTCAATTGCCTGTTGGCTTGCAAGAGTAGGGTTGTTTGCCAGCCTAAGACCAAAAGTCTCTGTAGGAGATGAGGGGGATTGAATTTAATTTCAGTGGGATTTAGGTGCTCTGCTCCCGGTGATTTTCTTCTTTTTCTCAGTAGTTCATCTGCACTTTGGAAAACCTCCCGTGTTTTTACAGAGAATAAACTTCATTGCATGACAGCTCAACTGCTGGAGAACAGACCCAGCAGTCTGAGGAGCACAGTGCCATAGTACGTGACACCACCCAAAAGTCAGCCCTTGGGATGCTATCGCTTTATAGTACCGCTATTACATGTTTTATGTAAGCACGTGGTGCGTAAAAAGACCTGATGGTCTCATGGGTGAGGACATTGTTAGATATGGTGCTGCTTTATTTGGTGGTGGTCAATGTTAAACAGCGCCTTTGCAGAACCATCCCTTGGTGTCACTTGTGGCTGTGAAACCAGTTCTGATATCAACAAAATGCATTTTGTTGTGGTAACTTAATAGGACAGCAACTGCCTAAAAAGGGCAATAATTAGGAGCTCTGGATGAGTTTAGGTACTGAAGAAAGGCCCTGTGCAGGGGGATAATGGAGTTTCAGAGCACAGCCGCAGGGAGGAGAAGGAATCCACAGCAGCATGGAATCAGAGCAGAGCTGCTCACTTCTGTGCAGCAGGGAGGAGTCACCAGGCTCAGGAGCTTGTGCATCGCATTGTGCATTGATCCCATCATGAGCAGAAAAAAGTGTCAGTCCCAGCACTCAGATAAAACCGATCATGGGGTAAGCAGCAAATATTGCAAAACAGCCTTTGGTGAAGTATAAGGATGCAAAAATGCTAAAAAATATCTGCAATTTGAAAATTTACAGAAGCCATCAGAAATGGTTTTCATAGGGGTCCAAGCTCAAGTTTGTCATTCTGTCATCTCAGTAGGAAACCCCCTGTCTTTCATGCACTTGAGGTAGAAGTCCAATAAGCTGTATTTCAGTCAGCAAAATGCAGAGTAATTTGCCTTTTATAATGTGCATAGAACTTACCAGGGAGGCACACATCTTAAACTTAGCTCAGATTTGGGCCTCCTCATGCACCAGGAGAAGGAAATGCAGCTCAGTTTGTCTCCAAGTGAGCCTTTGGCTGTGTGTCAGGGACCAGCAGTAGAGGGCCCTTCACCCGGAGCCCAGAGATGGAACACACTCACATAAGGTTCAGATGCTGCCCAGTTGCCTATTGGTACTGATCTGCCAGAGATGTTTAAATGCCGTGTTTAGGCTCTCCAGAGGAAAAGTTACCTGTGTCTGTACAGCAGATATAGTGGGACTCTCCTGTTTAATGGCAAGAATAGAGATGGGGACATCTTCCAATCAAACTCATACCAAATTCTGGTAAGTTAAAATCACTGGCACTGGCAAGCACTTGTATTTGGGGTTTTAAACTGAGAACATGATATTAAACTGAGACATTCAGATGGTAAGACCACAGTTAAGCATGATACCCTGGAGCTGCTGTGACACAGACTGTCAGAGGCATCTGGGTAGACAGAGGCTTCCTAGTGATGCTGCCTCACTGCTGTGGTCCTGGATGGGGAGAATTCATCCTCCAACAAGAGCAATTACCTTCTTCACTAGAAGCAAACTTTGGTTTTGCTCATTTGATGCACCATCCAGCCCTCCAGCTGCTGCTTAGATGGGCTTGAGTCTCCCCTGTGACCTGTATCATGCTTGGACATTTGTACTGATGTCTTTGACATCCTACATGTCTCAGGTGCCGCTAGATATCTGCATGCCACAAAGATGATCAGAGGACTGAAGCATCTCTACTATGAAGACAGGCTGAGACAGTTGGGGTTGTTCACCTGGAGAAGAGAAAGCGCAGGGAAATCCTAGAGCAGCTCCCAGTGCCTAAAGGGACTACAAGGAACCTGGAGAGGGGCTTTGGACAAGGGCCTGTAGGGACAGGACAAGGGGGATGGCTTTAACCTGCCAGAACAGGGGAGGTTGAGATGAGCTCTTAGGCAGAAGCTCTTCTCTGTGAGGGTGCTGAGGCGCTGGCACAGGGTGCCCAGAGAAGCTGTGGCTGCCCCATCCCTGGCAGTGTTCAAGGCCAGGTTGGACACAGGGGCTTGGAGCAACCTGCTCTAGTGGAAGGTGTCCCTGCCAGTGGCAGGGGCTTGGAACTGGATGAGCTTTGAGATCCTTTACAACCCAAACCAGTCTGTGGTTCTATGATTCTATGTGGGGAGCCAAATCCTGCCTGCGCCCAGCGAAGCCAGCCAGGGAAGCGGTGGCTGCAGGAGAGCCCCGCGGACACTAGATGTCACTGTTCCATCAGCCATGCTGCAACATGCTGGGGGAAACCATCCTGTTTACAGTGCAGGGGAAACTTCTCAACTCTTTCTTGCATGCACCACGTCTCTGAAGCCTGCAAGCCCTGTCTGCCTGGTAAAGCTGGCGGGTAGATGGTTGTAATTGCCCGGTGCTTTCCGTGGCAAGACCATCTCTCCTCTGCGAAGGTTCTAGGGCTGGGGCCAGGGCCTCTGCTCCTGCTTGGAAGTGCCTCTCTCCATGGGGCTGGCTGTTGCAGGAATTAGCATGTTTGCTAAGGACGTCAATTTTTCTAACTAGAGGGTAACTTTGGTACCCCTTCCTTTGCCAGGAAAGGTAAAATCCCAACAATTCTTGACCATGAGCAATGTGAGAAGGGTTAAAGTGCAGCTGGCTTTAGCTGGCTTTCAGGTGATTTTTTTTATTCTCAACTTTGTATTTAACTAATATTTCAACTGGAAAGCAAGAACAAGGAAAAAAAAAAAGAACATTTTTCTTTCATCCATAAGACATAGACATGTGCCACTTGGGTTTCCTTGTTCTAAGCCACAGTAGAAGCAGACACAGCTAGCACAGTTCGTACTGATAACCACGGACAGCAGGGTAGCTTCTCCAAAATGAGAAATGTGAACTTATGCCAACTGATGGTCTAAGCCTTGTCTTCCGTCAGCACCCATTTGGATGTTCCAGACATTGCCTGTATCGATCAGGCTGTTGAGCAAACGTGGAAAAACACTTGTGCCTCATTGTTGGCTTGACAGTGGCCGAGCGAGGAATTTTAGTGTTTTGGGTCATGGGGAGAAACGCTATCAAGTTCCCTTCTTCTAAATTGAAGCTGGGAATTAGGTATAGTTCCAACATGTCATCTGTAATAGAGACCTGCCAGAAACAAAGGTCAGTTTACAGACCATCTTGATTGTGCATGTGCGCACGTGGTTTCTTCTTTGTATTCCAACTTTTCTTTGACATACATCATGAATTTGGCAGGATAAGAAATGTAAGAATCGTGGTGGAAATTCAGCTGTGAGCTGTCAGGCAGAAGGTGGCAGTGTAGGTGTTTGGGAAAAGCAAAGAAGATGGGAGGCAGTGCCTGAAAGGAGTCGAGCTTTCCATTTTACTTGCTATGGATGTAAATCACAGCGTAAGGTGTGATAAATAATGAGAATGGACATGGGAAAGAAAACTGTCATCTTTTAAATTTCAGATACAGGAAAAATTACCATTTCAAACCACTCAGTTTCAATCATTTCTAATGTTAGAAATTCCAGCACTTACATCCTGGAGGGAAAGCTTGTACTTTTCTAATCTAATGAGGATCAGTAATGTTGAGTGACTTACTACAAAATAGCTTTCTAAAAGTATTTGTTTGAAGAAAAACAACATTTTTTTAATTATTATTTTTATTTGCATGGGGAGTCCTTGTTAGGTAAGTTATGGATTATCAGAAACATTTATTTGTCTTACAAATTGCAGACGTCGCAGACACATCCACTGGGGAGCTGCCCTTGCACACGGGAGGCCATGGAGAAATCTGCCCACTGACCGCTCCTAAAATGCCCTAAGGAAAGACTTGTACAGCCAAAATCTTGTCTGTTTTTAATATCAGTTGGTTTAATGAAACATACCACCTCTCCCTATAAGCCTTATGCTTACCCTTTAAGGAGAACAGTAATTTTTCCAAGTAATAAATTCTAATAAATTCAGGTAATAAATTCAGGTGACTGTTTTGTCTTAACTTGGATTAGGAAATGAAGACACCATGCAGGCTGTGGAACATGATAGGACCCAGCACCATTAAAATAAACAGCTTTAGTCAGTCAAGCTAGTCAACAGCTGAAGAGGTAGAGCCATATCAAAGCAAAGACAAGAGGGCAGCAATGGAGGCCAATAGGCCCA